TTCTCTAAAAAAATGTTAGAAAATAGTAAAAAGAGTAACACAGTAATTTAACAATTACACATTCATCTATCATTTAACCTCTATTCATCTAATCAAACAACATAAAAAACTACTATATTCTCTCTATCTTTTATATTATTCATCTCTCCAATTCTCTTAATCCCTTCTGCTCTCCATTCTTCTTATCAAACTATCAAACGGAGCCTTATAAAATGACGGGGTTAATTTTGTGTTTAAATTACAAGGGATAAACTGTGACAATTCATATTCTTTTGGGTCAAATTAAAAGTTAGTCGTATTAATTTCTAATATATTTTGACTCAGTTCTCCAGAAGAACAAAAACAAAAAAAAAAAAAAAAAAACAGAATAAAAGAGTAATAAGAGAGAGAAAGAGTGCCCACACGTTGCAGCTGTCTCCAGCCCATTTCCCTCCCAAAAGCACCCCCTTCCTTCTTAAAACTCAGTTCTCACTCCTCTATAAAACCCATCTTCTCTCCCAAACCCCATTCAGCAACCCATTAAAAAAACCAAAAACCAGAAAAACAAAAACAAAAACAAAAACATGTCATCAACAACATTGCATTCAAAACTCTCCCTTCTCCTTCTCTTTCTCACAACATTTTCCTTCCTCCACCAAAATGTAATCAGTTCCACTTCCGCCACCACCACCAAAACGGCGTCGTTTCAGACCCTGAACACAAAACCGGACATCTTCAACCCCAAGCTCCCCCCCAGATCCCTCTCCTCCTCCAAGAAGTTCGAGGGCTCCTCCGACCTCGTCAACCTCCGCTACCACATGGGCCCCGTCCTCTCCTCCTCCCCCATCAACATCTACCTCATCTGGTACGGCAAGTGGGCTCTACCCCAGAAGCGCCTCATCAAGGACTTCCTCCTCTCCATCTCCCCCACCTCCGCATCCGCCTCCGCCTCCGCCGCCGCCTCCCCCTCCGTCTCTGAGTGGTGGCGGACCGTCTCCCTCTACACCGACCAGACCGGAGCGAACGTCTCCCGATCCGTCGTTGTCGCCAGAGAATACGCCGATCTGAAGTACTCCCACGGGTCCCACCTGACCAGACTCTCCGTACAGCAGGTCATCGCCAACGCCGTGAAATCCGGTCCATTCCCGGTCGACCACAAGCACGGGATCTACCTCATCCTGACGTCGCAGGACGTGACGGTGCAGGATTTTTGCCGGGCGGTTTGTGGGTTCCACTACTTCACGTTCCCTTCCCTCGTCGGCTACACTCTCCCCTACGCCTGGGTCGGGAACTCCGGGAAGCAGTGCCCCGAGGTCTGCGCCTACCCATTCGCCGTCCCCGGGTACATGGCCGGAGGTGGGCCCGGGGCGTTGTCGCCGCCGAATAGGGATGTTGGCGTTGACGGGATGATCAGCGTGATTGCGCACGAGTTGGCCGAGCTGGCGTCGAACCCGCTGGTGAACGCGTGGTATGCAGGGGAGGACCCGACGGCGCCGACGGAGATCGGGGACTTGTGCGAGGGGCTGTACGGCACCGGAGGCGGCGGCGGGTACATTGGGCAGGTGATGAGGGACAGAGAAGGGAGGACTTACAATGTCCATGGGAGGAATGGGAGGAGGTTTTTGGTGCAGTGGATTTGGAGTCCCGTTTTGAAAGCTTGTGCTGGTCCTAATGCTTTGGATTAAATCTGAACAAAAAACAAAAAAACAAAAAACAAAAACAAAAAGAATAGTTTTTTTTTTAATAAATTTTTTTCCTCTTTTTTTTGGGCTTTCTGCTCAGGTTCTTACTGAGTTGGAGGAGAAGGGTCAAAGTGGAGGGACAAAGTTGAGCTTTACTTGAGCTTGAGCCTAGTTTGTGTATTTTTTTTTCCTCCTATCTTCCTTTTCTTTTCTCTTTTTCAAACTCATTATTATTATTATTTTTTCTTTTATTTTCAAGTGGGCTCTTTTTAGATGTAAAGAAGGGTGAAGATGGAAGGTGGAAGGTGGAAGGTGGAAGGCGGAGGATATCCTGTTATAGCTTAATAGATTTTCAGATTCTATAGTATATAATTTTTTTTTTAATCCAATGAAATTTAGCATTTTTCATTCTGCATTCTAATTGCTTTGCTTGGATTTGCATGTTCATTTATGATTAGATATAATGACAGGTTACAGAAGTTAGATCTAGTACTTATTTGGCTATAACACTTAACAGTGAATCTTTGTCCGTATCTCCGCCGAAGATACACATAAGAACTGAGCTCAGTAAAATCAGGCGGTCCTTAAAAGAGTGATGTGTTGCTAAGAAAACTGGTTTGGGACTTTGGGATTAGTACAATATGAGAACCCATTTCAATCTCAACTTTTTTCCTGGCTTTTCTGGTGAAATCCAACGACTGAGAATTTTTCTGCCAGAGAATTCGAATTTGTGACCTAAAGCATTCTGATAGAGAATTCTGTCAATATGGGCTAAAGCATGTGTCTTATAAATCGCATTTGCTTGCCCCCCCCCAAAAAAAAAGGCGAGTGCTACAAAGAAGCCAAATTTCCCTAAAAGTAAAATCTGGACATAATTAAAGTTTTATTTTATTCTAGTTAATCTTTAGCTAAGAGATTAGTTCGCAAGTTTATGAAGTTATGAAAAGCAGTGCTTCTTATATTTGATTTCTATGCTTTTGCCTTTTCAGAGTTTCTTTAGGGGTTGTTTTTTTAATAAAATTGAGAAAAAATTTAAATTCGAGTTATAATTTTATTTAAGTTCATATTTTTTTTTTATTTTTTTTTATAAAATTCGAGTTTAAACTCGAGTTCAAGTTTCTCTTTCAACTCGAGCTCATAAACTCGAATTCAAGTTAATGAATAATATTTTTTCTATTTTTAAAAATATCATAACTTTTTCTTCACAACGAAAAGTCGAATAAAACCCCACCCATATATCCTATTAAAATTTTTCTTCACTGTTGAGTTTTTATTAAAATACTATCTAAATACAAATTTAAGTTTTGACATGTCGAAACACAAACTCAAAAAGATTCTCAATTCAAATGTGCACATCCAAATATAAACTCAAGTTACAACTTAACTCAAATTTGAACTCAAACTCAACTTAAAATCATCACTCAAGTCACACTAACTCAAAACTGTAAAAGAACAACCCCTACGCCTTCAGTTAAATAAGTGCATGAATGCATGACCACATTTTTTTTTAACATTTCATAATCAATATGTTAATATTCCATGATGCTTAAAATTTTTAAAACACTCCTTTTTGGGGTTATTGTTGTGACTTAGAGTGGGGCAATGGAGGGCGATGGACTTTCATCAAACAATTCAGCATCATTAAGACAACCATAAGACTAGTTATTGCACATAAGTCCAAAACTACGATATTTGCGGATATATAGGACTTGTTCACTTTGCAGATTCAAGTTTTCAATTCGAGTTGAGATGTGACATTTTCTGAGAGCTTTTCACTATAGCAGGAAAAGTTAGATGTAACATTTTTTGAGAGCTTTTTATTGTAGAAACCTAGAACTGAAAATTTGAATCGGTGAAATGAACGAGGCCTAATACCCACAAGTTCAAACATAATATTATTTGATTATTATCACTTATTCTTAAATTTTAAAGTCATTTTCATTTTACTCTATGAAGTTTTTATTTAATTTTTTATGTTGTAATTTTTATTAAAAATAGATAAAAAAAATAAAATAATCACATGGTTAATCTACTTGAATTTTTATTAAAAAAAATAAATAAAAATTACATTATCACACTTTATCAATTATTTTTCTATCTAATTTTAATAGAAATTATAACATCCACTATTTTTTTTGTGTCTAATTTTAATAGAAATTATAACAAAAAAATTAAGTAAGAACAATTTAAAATTTAAAAAATAAAATGTGAATTTTTTAAAATTTAAAAAATAAATTGAGAATAAACTTAAAATTTAAAGAGTACCGGTAAAAATAATCCATATTATTATTATTATTATTATTATTATTATGTCACGTAAACTCTATTCCAATCACTATTATTAGTCCAAACTCCCAATCTCATAATGCAAAAAGTGCTTCCCTCAAATAGCAATCCCTGGCTAATAGACCACATGATAATCATGACACTAATTATGTTTCTTTTCGTTAAGGGTCATTTTGATTTTGATACCCAAAAAAAAAAAAAAAAAAAAAAAGAGTATGAAAGAAAAGGCAAATTCTAGTCCTTTTATTGGGAGTCAAGTGGGGGGAGAGAGCAGTAGTAGTAGAAGAGAGTTGAGAGAAGGACACCATCCATCACGCATCAACCAATATACCATCACCCAACTTTAACCCAGCATTTGTGATATACAGCTAATAGTGGGACCTACAAAAGTAAACATATTATTATTCTTCTTTTTTATGTTATTGTTTGTTATTATTTTTACCCTCACCCTCAAAGTTCTGCTCCAATCCTTGAGGTTTCAGCCAATGCCTCGGCCAAGTTGCAAGTGCTTTCCTTGGGGTGGGCCTACACTCTTTGGAGGGCTTGTTGGTGGGTAACTGCTTACCTGCTTTGCCGATGAGTTTAAAGAATGCAACAATGTTTTGAAGCTTTGCTTGCTAGCTAGCTACGATCCAAAAGTTCATTTACCAAACAAGTACTGAACATCCCCTGTGATGGCGGTGATAAACAAATGTTTCTTTTCAAGTTTCACACATTTCCTCTTCATTGAAAAAAAAAATAAAAAAGTGATCTGAATTTTTATTTATTTATTTTTAAGTAATATTCATAAATATTTTTAAGAGTGCATGCATTAAAATTTTTACTCTTTATTCTTATTTATAATTTTTTGAGTCAAATAATTACTCTAATAAAAAAATATTTATCAAGAATAAAAAATAAAGACAGCCACAGACTCAGACTCGTGCATTCATGTTTTCTTTATTTTCTATGCAAATGGAGTAAGGTTTGTCCTTTGTTTGGAAAATTTCCACCAACGTACTGCTTTAGTGTGGTCCACTAGTGACATTGTAAGAAGTGTTAAAAAGTAAATAAGGCCGTTCGGTTATCTAATTTGAGTTTTTAATTTGAGTTGAGATGTGATGTTGTGTGAGAGTTTTTTACTGTAATAAAAAAATTAAATTTGATTATTTTTTAGAGTTTTTTACTGTAATAAAAAAATTAAATTTGATTATTTTTTAGAGTTTTTTACTGTAACAAAACTCAAATTTTAAACTCGAATCAGCGAAAAGAACGAGATTTAACATAAATCAAATAGTACTAATGCTAGTTGTTGATCAGTGGGCTAGCAACCACCGATGGTGGTGACAAAGGCCGATCGCTCCATGGTTTTCTCTCGCCCCCGTTAAAAATTCTCATTAATCCTTTGAGAACTGATCTTCTTTCTTATTTACGAGCGGTCTTAATAGATTTCGCAAGAAACGCCGAGTAAGGATTTGAGAACACCCTTGATTTTTAATTTGAAATTTTCTAAGATGTGAAGAAAACCAACAACCAAACAGTCAACAAATTTACGTGAGGCTCCATATGAATCTCTAATCCATATCATCACGTTGCCCTACCTCTAGTGGTCCCCACGAGAAAGATAACATCTCCGTCTCTTAAACTCTGTTCATTTCACCGATTTAAATTTTACTATAATAAAAAGTTTTTAGAAACAGTTACATTTAATTTTTTTACTACATTAAAAAATTCACATAAAAATACATCTAAATTCGAATTAAAAACTCAAATTAACGAACTACACATCCCTTAATCGTAGAGCTACAGGCCATTGCATGGGCCATGAAGATATAGGCCTTCGGACAGAAAAGAAAGGGACAATCGGAAAGCGAGATTGGCCCGGCTTTTGCCTCTGCCTCTCTCTATGAGTAACTTCAATAGTGTGACTTTTAAACAAATAAGAAAAACCCATGTCAAAAAAGGCAATCCGCAAGAAACTGTTGATTGACAATTAATTTATATCTTGAAAGGACAAATTATTTTTGTTTTTCCCTCGAGGAATTTACGTATCAAGGAAAGCGATAGTCATATGACATGCTTGTCCATTTATATTGTTTTTCTCATCGCCAGTTTCTTAGAAAAGGTCTTTTGGTGTCTCCCTTTAGAATGTCATTCTCGTACTGCAAATGGAAGAAATCGTATATAATAATAGCGCAGTAACAATACATACTAGCAAGGCTTTATTTTTCAGAAATTGCTAACGTAGGGTTTCAAAAAAATGAACTACTGATAAAATTTTGTTTTTAATTATATAAATTTGTATTAGAAAATGATTGTCATACATATATACATATATTTTATTTTTATGTGATCTTAACTATATTTTGCGATTAGAAATAAACATCCTCTATATAGACCCTACAATAAAAAGATTTTTTTTTTCTTCTCTTGGATAAGGACATTATGATAAAATTAAGTACGTTGGAGGTAAATTACATCAGAAGGTAATTTTCAGCTCATTATTATCTTATAGACGACATAAGTTTGTGCCTACAGCTAGGTTTGAGATTTCCTCCTTTTAATCAACCAATTAATTGATAAGGGTTAAAGATTGGAGAATTTGCGTCAGATTAGTAATATAAGCCAAAAGATACCACTATTGTTTTTGCATTAATAAACTTCAATCACTTTGAAAGTGGTTAGGATTTTACGTTGTATTGACAAACACCTTTGACTTCTGTCCAAAGAATGATGAGATAAAAAGGATCAAATTAAAGACATGCATTAAAAACACTCAATAATTTATCATGAGTACATGACTTGACAATATTTTAATGGATAAGATTGAAATCTTAACCCTGCACCACCCATATATGCCATAGCCAAAGGGAAGTTTATGGCACAGTAATTTACCCCTTCAAACCAAAGGAAAGTGACTTGTTGCTGACAAATTAAAATCACATATACTGTAGGGTAGGCATTGATTTCTGTCCCCATCACCACAATACTAATGAAAATTAAAGCATAATTTGTTTTGAAAGAAACGTTTCCTCTTTATATATTCCTGGAGTTTGTTACTATTGGAAAAAACGGACATTAAAAACGATCAGTTTGTTACTATCTTATTATAAAATTATTCTACGAGAT